AAAAATCGATTTTTTAAATTTTTATTTAAAAAATATAAAAAAATCACCAACCCCGAAACCCAATCAGGGACGGCAAAAATTAGAACATCAGATTGTACGACCTTGAACAAAATGACAGGAACGGGGACGGCAAAAATTAGAACATCAGACTGTACAACCTTGAACAAAATGACAGGAACGGGACTGGTTTTGAAGTAGTGCATGTGCTGGTGGATAAAACCTCCTCTCAAATTCCCCGAGATTCAGGATAGTAGGCAAACCTGAAATCTTAGATCACACGCACAAAATGATCTAAATCATCCTTTCCCACTCACTAGAAATTAACTTCACTGTGAAAAACTAGAGCAATAATCCTTTTAACCCAGCCTCGCCTGAGATGCGAGACAAATGTCCCTGACCCTGACCCACCTGAGCGGCAAAAGGGTTGCTCTTGAGCAGGGCGGTGAGAAGCTGCAAGGCGTGGCGGCGTACGATGCTGGACTTGTCGTGGAGTCGCCCCACCACCAGGGCCATCAGCGACTCTTGTTGGAGCAACGGCAGGCACTGGGGGGAGAATAGTTGGTTTTAGGAAGAGTTTTACGGCACTTGCAACACAATAAGGTCATATAAGCACCAAAACTTAGAGGTATTGCTAGAGAGTAACATAGCAAGAAGAGAGGGAGGAGAGAGACACCACTAAGAGATGTCTGATAGGAAAGAGGGAGGAGAGAGACAACACTAAGAGATGTCTGATAGGAAAGAGGGAGGAGAGAGACACTAAGAGATGTCTGATAGGAAAGAGGGAGGAGAGAGACAACACTAAGAGATGTCTGATAGGAAAGAAGGAGCACACCACAAAAGAGCACCTGCCCACCACCCACTCACCTGCTCTGTGACAATGCTCAGCCATATCTGCAGCACTTTGCTCCGGACGAAGGCGTTCACGTCGTGAATATGATCCTGGACTCAGCAAAGGAAACAACGACATCAGGGGGTGAATACATTTCTCACACAACAGTGATTATTCGGCAATAATGGAACATTGATAAAGAACATGCAAATTTACAAAACCTTGAGTGTTATCATTGCAATACTCAAGAACGCTAAACCAAGTTCGGTATCATTCAAGCATTAAAATTTGAGTAATTTTAATGTTTAGTTTTAGTAAATGTTTTACAGCACTTGCAACACAATAAGGAGGAGAGAAAAGGATGCTAAATGTTCGATAGGAAAGAAGGAGCAAACCACACCAGAGTACCCGCCAACCACCCAGGATCAGTACCTTACGACACAGAGGCAGAAGAAGGGAGTGGCACACTAGGAGGGATAAAGACCCCTTCGACACATCTACCAAACACTTCAACTAGAAGGAATTAACAAGCACAGAATTTGGTTTTTGTTTCAGTAAGGTTATACTGCGCTCTAGCTGTATAAGGTCATATGAGCACCAAGGGGTGGGTGTCAACAGAGAAGTCCAAACCGGGAATCAGGCTTACTCTGCTCACCTCTCTAGTCTCTAGCCTCAACAGCACAAAGTCTGCTGCGACTATCAAGGCACCCCGGAAATAGCAGTTCACAAAGAGTGACAAACATAACAAGGAAGTAGAGGAGAAATGACGATAGTAAGGATGAGGAAAGAAAAAGCAGCAGTTCCCCCTATGTTGTTCCGGCACAGTATGAGCATGACATTGATAAATCAGCCCATTTACAATTCTACTGTGCGTAAGAACATGTTGATATTCCCTCTTTGGGAATGGCCTAAAGACACTTCAGTCAGTAGCACTGCTCTGGTGGTGGTGGTGGTGGGGAGGGGGAGGAGCAAAGGATTGAATCAACAACCAGGAAGAAAACCACTAGACAGCACAAGGCCTACCTCTAGCTTCTCAAAAAAAGCGTCTCTGGTGAGCCGCGACTTCTCGTCCAGCTCCTCCTTACACAGGTAGGTGGTGAGAATACTTCCCATCATGCCCAGAACGCCGTTCCTCAACGTGTACGACTGAGAAAACACACGGTACACCATTGTTCATTATGTTTCAGTAAGAGTTTTACAGCACTAGCAACACAACAAGGTCATAAAAAGGCCAAAAATTAGAGGTATTACAAGAGAGTAGCAAACAGATAAAAAAGAGAAGAGATAAGAATGACAGAAGTTTGAAAGGAAAGAAGAAGATAGAGGTTTGTCAGAGTAAAGAGAAGAGATAAGAATGACAGAAGTTTGAAAGGAAAAAAGAAGATAGATGTTTGAAAGGAAAGAAGAAGATAGATGTTTGAGAGGAAAGAAGAAGATAGATGTTTGAAAGGAAAGAAGAAGATAGATGTTTGAAAGGAAAGAAGAAGATAGATGTTTGAGAGGAAAGAAGAAGATAGATGTTTGAAAGGAAAGAAGAAGATAGATGT